ATAGAAGTAGAAAAACAGATTTACAGAAACCAGATGGGTCAAGTTAGGATTCTTTTTTTTTTTCTTATTTGTCCTTTGAAGAACAATAAGTAAAGCTATTCAATTTGCAATCATAATGCTTATTTTCTATATTGCTTATTATGACATAAAGACTACAAAAAATTGAATGATCACAGGTTTTAAAATAAAGTAACTCATTTGAAATACTTCTGTGCATCTTTCAATTTTGTTCATATCAGTAGTGCACTATTTTGATTTACTCAACTTTTTGCTTCTATCTTTACAGTCCTGGTGTAGTCATTATATGGTAAAAGGGAGGGGGTGAGGAGAGGAACAAATAATAGGTGAAGCTGCAGCAAATGGCACAAGGATACAGTCCCTTCCTGGAAAGAGGATTTTGTGGCGAACCATTTCTCCCATAATGCATCCCACAGACCATATATCCACTAGAACAGCAGAGACAGGGAAGTGAAGAAAGAGGGAAAAAAGCAAAGTTAACTATGACATTTCACTCCTAAAGGAGGGGAAAAAGAGCAGGTTGATCAGAACAGTACAGTTTGTTTTGTGTTTTTCTTGGTTTTTTTTTTCTATGTCTCACCAAAAGCTAAAATAAATAAGTAAATAAGTAAAAGCTGTGTCAGTCAGCTCAACAGTAGTGAGTAACAACAGTGGAAAAAGTTTAAAATCAACATTTTTGGGAAAATGTCCACAGCTAGCAAGCAAAGATCAAGTAACAACTGCACAGACCCATGGTTTACACTGAGTTTATGGTGAAAAAACAACTTTTTATTTTAAGAAAAAAACAAAAGCCAAAAAAAATCCCAGACAATGATCGTCTGTAATAAATCCTACTAGCAGCCAGGCAGTTTCTAGGCTTTGTGCTGCAGGACTGAGTCTCTGCAGCTCACACAAGAGGTTCCAAATGGAACCACTCACACGAGTAAAGACCACATGGATAAATACCACCCTTAAGGTGTTATTTAAAACCCCTGCTTCAGGATCTGTACCTATGTCCCATGTACAGGTACCTATCTGTACGTATCTGTCTGTACCTAGATACCATATAGAAAGAACTGGAGAGTGTGACTTGTGCAGACTGCTTTTTCCACATAGGTACTCAAAATACACACTAAAATAAATAAATGCTTTGCAGGACAAGTACCAAAAAGACTGAAATAATTTCTTATCTTCCTGATGTTGCTTTCAGCTTTTAGATTCACTATGCATAGTTACATTATCTGCTTGACTTGGGTGGGGTTTGGGTTTTTTTGCCTTCCAAGTCTTACAAGAGAAAAGGCTAGATAGATAATGACACAGTATGCACAGAAAGAAAAGACTTGTATTCAGTGTGAGGGGAAAAAAACCTGGCTTTCAAATGCTTTAAAAGACTATGTTGTTTCTCAGCTTTGAACCTTCTTTTTGTGGTCATATTTGATCTACACAACCAGTTTATCCTCTTTTTCTTCCTCCTTTTTATCCTTCAAAAGCAAACCAAAACAAACCAAAGAAACAAACAACTCATTTCTTGGTAAGACAAAATAAAAGTGAAATGTTCTATTTAGGAAAAGGAGGGTACTGGTATCAGGGGCATGGGACAGCAAGAGCATGCCTGAGGCAGTGGCAGAGTTCTCCTCATAGTGACAGTTTTGGTACCTTCCACAGAAGTGCAGCAAACTGGTGATAATTATGCATCTTTAGCCAACCAAATGCAGAAAGAAAATGAAAGCAGTGAACAGTCCTTATACAGGCAGTGTACATAGTAAGAGGGGAAAAAAGTGGGGGAACTTCAGTAATGTGGCAGCATAGGCCAGAGCAGGGAAGCAAAGAGCGACCCTTTCTGTTGACTTCCTTGGGAGCTAGATCAGAGACTCTGAGCAGATCGGCTCCTCAGTCAGCTGATCTTCATTTTCAAACATTTTGTTTTCTTTCTCTGTTTATTTTCGCTTTGTACAAATAAGATGAGTTCATTCATTTTGTACCAGATTTATTGCCCAGGGAAGTCAAAGGAAGTCTCTATGTTAACTTCAATGGGCATTTGATCAGGACCTTTGGACGTGGCAAACATTTTTAGTACCTTCCCAGCTGTGTACTTCATTGCAGAAGTGTGTATAACTTTTTCTTGGTGTGATTTTAATAATGTGAAAAGCGAGTGCTTTCTCTCTCCTTTCAGGGACAATAAAAACAGTAGTAGTAATCTACTAAATGTCTGGAGAGAGAGAAAAAATAAAACAAAACAAAACAAAAAACCCCCACAAAATAACTCATTTCACAATAGAAGGAACTCTAGATATTGACTAAGCTACCTAAAGCATGCTGAGTCTAGTTCAAATTTCTAATGGTGCTCATAAAAAATACCTATTACAAAATACTTTAAGGAAGATTACTCCTTTTTCAGAAATTATTCTGTACACTTAGATTCTGCTTAATAATTCTCTACTCTTTAGCTTTTCATATTAAAATATGTACTGTAAATTCATAAACATTACAAATAATTCATGCAGAGATTTCCTAATTTTGAAGAGGTTGCATAAGCACAATTCTTATTTAAGTAATGGAATCAGCTCCCCAAATCAGTTTTACTGCCCTTTACAGGATGCAGTTGGCTGTTAGGAAAAGTTCTCCTGCAGCTTAGCTAGCCTTTTCAATATAAATTAAGCAGGAGACTCTTTAATAAATTCCTGGTTTTGATGTTTGCTGTATTTGTCATTGAAAAGTCTCCTTGTCAAATAGACAAGTAGGAGCTTTTGACAGCAGAATTTGAGCCATGGCAAATTTTTCTCCATTATATGTTGTATCCCCCCTCTTTTCCTGCCTGATCTACTTGGCACTCAGATGTAATTCTCAGTTTAGTTACAAAATGAGAATAATTTATAAAGTTTTCCCTTCATTCTCTGCAAAATGTGAGTTCTGCCTTACCTGCTTCTGTATAGTGAGCATCCCCTACCTGCCTTTCACAATCTTTCTGGGGACCAAGACGTGTACAGATCCCTCACAGAGCAAAATCCTATTTACATCTAGGGAGTTTACATACAAATTAGATTCACATTTATTTTGGCTCCAGCTTTTTCCTCTTCTCTCCAACTCTACTTTCGATTGAAAAAAAGACTCAAACTGCAAAATTTATACCTAGGTCTTGATCACATGACACCTGCCAGCAAAACCTGGGACTTCAGTAAAACCTATCATAAAGGCAGATACCGTTCCTGAAATTCAGATCTAGCTCTGAATTTGGAAAAATTCTGAAAGGGCTAGGATTCCCTCTTTCAGCTTGCATCTCCTCTTCTTCCCTCAAAAATTCAGAATGTCAGAGTCAAATTTAAAACACATCACTTGCTCAGCAATCCCAGTGGTTCCCACACTGTTTCACAGCCACAGAAGCCAAAGACATTCTGGTCAGAAGGAGCTAATTTTATTTCTTAAGGTCAATTATAACTAAGAACAGGCTCATTACTCTGCAATCCCACACTGATAAATTCCCAAAATACAATCTGTAACTGCAGTACGCAAGAATGAGAAACTGCTCTAAATGACCTGCCTTTTAAATTCAAGATGTTGTTTTCCATTATATTTTCTTTTTCCATGTAAGGCAGACCTTATACTTCAGGTCACACTGCACTTGCTATGAAATAGCAGCCCTACCGTTCTCCTTGTAGCCCATTCCCAAGATGACCTCTGGTGCTCTGTAGTAGCGCGTCACCACATATGGAGTCATCATGAAGCTAGTGCCTGCAGTCCTGGCCAGTCCAAAATCCAAAATCTTCAATGTGCAGTCAGATTTTACTACAATATTACTTGGTTTTAAGTCCTGCAAAAGACAGTGAAAAGACATATGATTGTCCTTCATAAAGCTAGGCACAGCTGTGGTTTGGACTGGTATTTTAGATGACCCTTCAGATACTCTTTTACTCTTCTGACACTTACAGTTACTATCAGAAATACTTGCAAATACAGAGCAAACCTCTGCTACTGTTTGTCTAGCAACCCCTTCTGGAAGATATTCTAATTTGGCATACTCTGGGACTTTACCAGGATAACAAGAGCCTAATGGTGCTATGTTAATGGCATTTAGCAGTTCAAGAAACCAGGATGAGTACTGTTCTGAGCCGCTGGATTTTTTTTTAATGCTGTAAGCCTAATAGAGACATTTCAACTGTATGTGTGGGTATACCTTAATGCTTCATTTATAATAATTCAACTCACCCTTTGCTGGATGCCTATCTGAAAGCCATATCTATCATCCCTTGTTAAACATACAGCATGCCAAGAAAGGAGACCTTTGTAAGCTGTAAAGCAACATTCACCTTGTAAACGATTTTATCATCCCTTCTCCTCTTCCTCTCATAACAAAAGGGAAATATTTTTGCATTTGTTTTTTTCAGCTGGAAACCTCAAATTAGTAAAAGCATATTTCAATAAAGGTGTTAACTCGAAATATTTCAATCCATTCAGAATTGCCTCCTGCTCACAGTCACAGGAACTGTTTGTTCTCTCTGTTGTCAACAATCACACATAGCACGAGCTCTGGCATCCACAGCCAGGTACCAAACACGGCCCTCTGAGGCAGAAAAGCAAAATTAGAGGATGTGTTTAATATAGACTTGGCAGTCTTTTCATTTGTTTTAGCACCTGTAAATGATGGCAAATGCCAATTCCACATGTTTTGACTGCTCTCTGCAGATCCAGATCAAGCAACACTTGGACCACACACTACAACATCAAATCAAAGTGTTCGATTGTCATGTATGGTAGACGTAGCCAGCTGCATTTTCAGGAGAAATACAATTTGTCTACGCATTTCAGAGATCATAATCACTTTGATGATTTCCAGTGCTTGTTATTATTTATTTGTCTAATTAAGTTCACAAATAATCTCATTCCTAACACAAGAATGAAGACACTCTGCTAAGGGGATGGGCTACAACTTATAAGCTTATAGTCATTTTACACGAGTCAGGGCCTTAATCCACAGTACACAAGAAACTCAAGTGGTTTTTACAATCTTCACAATGATGTCACATGCTGCCTTAAGTTTCATACCAAAGTCCCCTTACCCTGTGAATAATTCCTGCAGAGTGAAGGTGCTTGATACCACACAGCATTTGGTACAGTAGGTAAGACATTCGCTCATGGTCTAGCTCCATCTGAATGACCTGGCACAGATTGGCATCCATTAACTCCATTACAAGGTAGCTGAGTGAAGAAGCAAAGTCATAGGGTTATTGCCTTCATTGAAGAGGAACCACAGCATCATCTCAATTAAGGAACAGTGCCTTTTCTTGCTTCAAAATTAATTTTATTTCTGTTGACTAGAAGTAATACAGCTGGAAACTGGCTGAGCATAGGGCCCACTCACAACTGCACCATTGTGGTGTTTATTCTTCGCTGCACCAGCTGACTGCAGTAACTGCTCTTTGAATGTCCCAGCAAAACAGGTGGATTGCTGACCCTTTTATGGTACATTCCCCACAACAGATACTGTACCCTATGTGGGCAAACATACAGCACAACACTGAAATCTGCAGAAAATGTAAGAGCCACAACCACCAAATGACATGACTGCTTGGCCTTTGGCCATTATGAGGAATGACTACCACAGTACCTGTAGGAATTGGAGAGTAGCAGAGATGTCTGAGAAGTTAAAATATGCATCCCCCTGCAAAATGTCTTCAAAAATCCTCCTAAGACTGCATGACTTTGCACAATTCTCATTACAACTAATTGGTCTTTTGCTTCTGATAAATAAGCTTCACTAGCAACCTCAGCAGGATGTTAACCCAATCCCCTTCAGAGGTAAGTTATTAAGTTAAACACATCAGCTCATTTCTTATGAGACATCTCACAAGCACAGCTGATCCCTAATTGTAACATTACATTAAAGTGCCCTCAAACTTTGGGGAAACTACTAGCTTTCCACCTCAATGTGAGCTGCACAACTTGTCTTCTCTCCAGCACTAGTCACATCCTCTGCTCTACACAAGTCTTCAGTGACAATATTATGCAAAAAATCCATATACCAAAGCCAGAACAGAGTGAAGTGCCACATTTCAAAACCTCACACACCTCAGGGACTTACATAACGGCCATCATTTCCCAAGCAAACTAATAACACAAAATTATTAGTTTAACTTTTAACTACTCATACCCTTTCCTCTGCACATGAAGGAAAATGGAGACACACTAGTGCTCTCAAGAAGAGCCACCAGCAGGCTTTGTAAGGTATCACAGCACTTGGGAAACAGTATTTGACACCTTTTAAGTTTCAAATGTGCTCTCAGTATGGGAAAACAGAATATCTGTCAACCCACAATGTAGACTGCACATAACCTTTTTTAGAGGTGCTCATAACCTTTGCATTTTGCTGACTTGCTGTGTTCAAGATACACTATAATGCGCCACACATCTCTAATGCTTTAGTTTAATTACTGCCTGTGTTACTTACACATCCTGGAACTCCTCCAGAGATTTCTGTGGTGTGAAGACATTTAGTAAACTGATAATCTGAAAAGCAAAGTAAGACAAAATGATGAAGTGAGAAATGTAAGCAGTTGAACCCATTTTGAAGTGTTTGTTAAAGGACAAACTCTGTTTTTTACTGCTGAATTTAAACTAACATTTCTCACTTTCTGGATCAGTAAAAAGTCAGCAACATTCAAAATAAAATACTGCAGTTCTCTAAGATCTCTAAATGCTAAGGTTGAGACAGTCATCTGAATTTTGAAGTTACAGATTCAAAGACCAACCTCAGCTCAATGCAGCATAACAGACCTCGTGCTACAACTAGAAATACCTTATATAGAAGAATTCACATCTGAGGGGATAAACAATCAAGGACCATCTTACTAAAAACAGGCAGAAGACCTTCCTTCTCTCTGACATGGCCTAAATTCCTTGTATGGCACATGCACACACATACTGACAAAGGCCATACTGAGGAATACTGCTTTTTAGTAGAAGCACTTTAAAATGGTAGATACATGCTGGACAAAGATATCTTCCATACTGCAACTCCTTTTTTACTTGTTTGGTTATTTTTTTAAATAAGCTGGGCTGTTGAAAGACACTGGAAAGAATGCGTGAAACAGCACAGAGGAAAAATGTGACCTCAGGGATCTGAATTTCCCATGCTTTCCTTCCGTGTGGGCAACAGAGGTCGAAGATACCAGCACAACCATCATGAAGACAACATCTGAATGTCTCCCTCCCCACCTCCATCACCTCTGCAAGCTTTCTAACAGGAATGGTTACTTATTCTTTCTGTCCACTCCACATATTCTGAATCATTCTTGCCACCACACAGGTGCCTTTACGACCCTCTCCTTCCTTTGCACTTCTCCGTACAGATTAAAACTCTGACCCAACCTATGTGGTGCTGTTATCAGCTCTTATGCAGCATTTTTAAAATTATATTTTTAAAATTAATGCTGCTTCTGCTGCCCTCTGCTCTTTTCGGTCCATTAAAAACATGAAGTGAGAATGCATCATTCTCCCATGTACAGGGAGAACTACTCACTCATCCCTGCATTTTCAAAGCCCCATGCATTGGTCTGACTGAAGACAGTTTCCATCCAAGTCAACAGGAAAGAGAGAGGAACAGCCCTGATCAACACAGTGAAAATGTAAGGATAAGTCAGTGCACAGCAGTGGGGCACAGAACGCTATAGGCGTAGTCCTACTTTTTGCCATGTTAGGTTCAGTCCTCTTTCTTCCCATGTGAACTAGTGACTGCAAACAAGTGTCAAATCTCACCTTATGCCACACTTTTCAAGCTTATTTATGATCTGCGTAAGAAGAAAGAGTCATTGCAGGATCTGAGGCAAGAATAAACATGTAGCAATATCCACTCCTAATTAGATGGAAAGGGCACACAGGTATGGCACCAGGCAACAGCAGAAATGGAGGAATTGTCAGAAAATTAAATTCCTGGGAGATCCCTTAACCAATGCAATGAGGCAATTCCACACACCTCACTACAAAAAAACCCCAAGCTTATATAGTGTCTGGCAGATAGTTCTAACTAATAGACAGATGGTTACAATTAACGTGCAGCCCTGAAATAGCTCTTTTGCTGCAGTGTAGGAATATTTTCATTTGTTATGGATACTAAATGTTACACAATAGGTAGCAGGTATAAGAAGCAGGGAAATCTAGAACCTGCTAGTACTGTTTATTTCAACAAGAACACTGTGATTAGAAGGGATGGCACAATGTGTTGAGGCTTCAGAGTCCCTGACTCCACAGTATTAACTGACAGGCAATTGCATGAGAATGGAAAGGTGTTTTTAGTCCTTAATTTTCTTCAGAGGATTTGCAACAACTTTCCCCATTACAGCCTCTCATCTTGTACAACCTATACAATGCAGCTATATGACTAGGTTTCAGATGAAGTCCAGAACAAGGAGTAATGCTCGTGCACGGGTACTCCAACTCAAGAGACACTGCCTTTGAGTCACAAATCCCAGTGTCACAAGGATGGAGCCAGGATCTCAACAACCACTTCTGCATTTCTAGAAAAGGAGTTGATAAGAACATATTCTGCTACCTACAACCCTACTAGCAGCACCCTCATTTGCTATAGCCTTTAAATTAGTACATGAAAGATCCTCACTTTCCTATGTGGTGAAAGACTGTAGAGCATAATTTATTTTTCTTTTAAAGGGGCACCCAACAAAACTATTTTCTTTCTAGCAAACCAATATATATACCGCTTCTTTGGTAACCTATTGAAAACTTACATTTTTATGATTCACGCACTTCATGAGGACCAGCTCCCTGTAAGCTCTCTTGGCATGAGTTTGATTCTGAAATGGTCTGCTGAGCTTCTTAATGGCCACGTTTCTGTCAAGGACAGCATCATATGCAGCACTGCAGTAATTACAAACACAAGGGTTATGCATCTTAGATTATATCCTTAATTTCTCATGGTAAATTCCTGAGCCTCAAGTCTTTTATTGCCTTTTTTACCGCTGTGAAAAATACTGAGACAAAAGAAAAAAAAGGAAGACATCAAAGGGAAATATGTACCACATCAGCAGAAGACAGCATGCATCACTACTTCTGAACTCCAGTTCTATAGGAAATTAAAATTTATTTTCAAGGAGTGGAAAAAAAAAGATTAAGTAACTTCAAGTTAAAAAATGATGAAAAATGGATGGGATAAAAAGTTGTCTCACAAAGCAACTCTCTGTGCATTGGTTACAGTGGAGAGGCTTTTGCTTTCTTTGTCATGATTAAGGACACCTTCACCAAGTGGCTCAATCAACAACTGCCCACCTTTATCTAGAATGAAGTATTTTTCTTATGAAATTTCTCATGGAATCAAGTTAGGTAATCATTCTTCGAGACCATATAATCCAATTCCAATAACATACCTAGAAGCAGGACTGTTTCACAGTGTTTCTTTACCATTTCCTTCTGATAATGAAAAAAATTGTCACGTACACTTAGTTAAAATTTTTGAGGACATGAAGAAATACACGTCTTGGTTTGTAAAGTAAGCTTTCAAAGCTGGGCTCCTAAAATTCTCCTTAAACTTTTAAATGTTCTGTAGAACCTTCAGTTATTTTGATCATCACCTCCTATGAATTTGAAGCACTTTTTTTGGTGGTTCAAATCTGACCACACAAATTCTGACCTCTACATTTCACAAAGCTCACGGATTCTCAGAAACGTTCCCAGAGAATCCTCAGACCCTCTTCCTGATTCTCCTTTTTATTAAGAATAAGGAAAGGCATGACACAAGCAACAGTGTATTTCCAGAAAGATAAAACAACCAAACCACTTGATGTTCAAACAATAAATACTTTTTAAAGCACCAAATATTCAAAATACTTTATTTTTTTATTAATCCCTGCTTATTGTGCACACTCACTGACATTCACTTACAGAGTCTTACTGATCAAGTACAGAGCAGAAAGCATGCAAGCATCAGAAGCTTAATCACAAAGCCAACAAAAACCTACAAGTGCTCCAATTAAGAAAGTAAAAAAGTGTGGGCAATGTGCATCTTGGAAACCATACAGGTGGAGAAGAGTAAGAAATATTTCAAATACACTATTCCTGCATAAGTAACACACCAAATACATCCCACAAACAAGAATAACTGTTTACAAAAGGTGACAAGGAGATTTGTGAAGAATGCTTTACTCCACTGCTGACATTTGGGGCAAGATGGTGGCATTTCCCCTGAGAATATGTTCAGAGGGGAAAAAAAATTCTCATGACTGCCCTTGCAGGTATTCTGAAACTGTCAGGAAATTCCATTTTAACATTTTCATAGTGAAACTATCTCAGATCAAAGTGATCAAAATGTTGATTTACAGAAAAAATAAATACCAAACAAAGAATATCACCAAATTATCAACACACTGAAATGCCAAGTCCTGCACTAGGGGAGGAATAACCCTAGGCACCATTACAGAGCTGGGGGCTGCCAGTCTGGAAAGCAGCTTTGTAGAGAAGAACCTAGGGGTCCTGGTGGACAAAAGGCTGAACCTGAGCCAGGTATGTGCCCTCATGGCAAAGGAGGACAGCAGTATCCTGGGCTGCATTTAGGAAGCATGCTGCTAGTAGGACAAGGAAAGCCATCCTTCTGCACTCCTCAGTGCTACTAGTGCCACATCTGGAGTGCTGGGTTCAGCTCCAGGCTACCCAGTACAAGAAAGATAGGGACATACTGGAGTAATTCCACTGATAGAACATGAAGATGATTAAGGATGACAACATCTGCCACACAAGGAAAGGCTGAGTGAGCTGGCTGAGTTCAGCCTGGACAACAGAAGTGTCAGGGGGGATCTTACCTCTGTTCTTAAGTATCTGATAGGAGGAGTAAAGAAGATGGAGTCAGACTCTTCCAGTAGTCCTGAGCAACTTGCTCTAGTTTATTCTGCTTTGAACAGGTGGGTTGGACCAGGCACTCTCCAACATAATCTATTCTGTCATTTGGTAACAATTCTTTCTTCTCTTATTCATTAATAAGTCATAGAGCTTTTATTATCCAGCTAATATCACACTAGAGACATGCATAAACAAAGGTATTGCACTCACTAGTTAAAGCATATATGAAGCAGCTTAGGTGATAAGGCTATCAAAGATCCAGTCTGACCTGACTTCATTCTGGCCAGATAATTTAACTCAACTAAACCTTATGTTAGAAGGAACAAGCTGTGTGATTTATAGCCTAGTAGTATGCAGCAGAAAGCAAAGCTCCTGTAGCAACTGTCAGAGTTGTGTCTTTCACTCTCTCTTAGTTCAGTCATGACAAGGCATCATAAAGGCCATGACTAAAACACCCCTCATTCCATTAAGAAAGTATTGAACACATAAAATGCAAAGTCAAAGGATATAGAAAACACAATCTTTCAACAGTTAAATGTTTTGTCTCTTATCATTCATGGACATATATTGCAAATACACTTCAGCAGGTAAATCTCTCAGCTAATTCGTATTACTTGATCACCCAACTTCTTTTAAGAATAAAAGCCTACATGAGACTCATCTGAGCTATGTAAGAGTACTTTGAATCATTTTCATATCTTTTATCTTGTTATATTTTAATCTCATTAGTTACATCATAAAATCACTTACTAGGAGTTAGAAAACAGTAACATCAAAAGTTTGTCTGGGCAACCATTTTCTCCAGTTTCTGTTCTCTGCTTTTCTGAATTTTCTCCCTCTGTCAAAGCAAGAGACGAAAAAGCACCAATCTCAAATCAGAAAACCAAAGGCTTCTCAAGCCTTTGGCTTTTATGACCCATTCCCAGTCCTTCACATACCATGGAGGAAAATAAAACTACTAAAGTAATCCTTTTACACGTATATTTACTTTGAGATACAAGGATCTTGACCACAGATCTACCATGGCCTTCTGTCAAATGGAAGGTGTCCAACTACTTCAAGAGGTCAATACGCAAATTCATTGCACTGAGTAAATAAATAGCACTGTTCCTTTTTCTATTCACCAGAGAGAAGCTTTTGTTTACAGACAGCCAACTATGCATTTTACTATAATGAAACTACAGATACAACATGTAGGTCCTCTCTCTGGTGCTTGCTGCACAAAATCCTTACCTTGGAACACCAAGGTTAGTACTGATGATATATCAGCCTTCTTAAGACAAACTTCAATCACTGCCAGAAGAGTGGCTGCATAAACAGGTGACTCAAGGGAGCAGGAATAAGAGAGAGAGAGAAATGAGTGTCTGTGAACTGCTGTGAAAAGGCTGAGTGTGAAAGTCAATTTCAAGATGGCCAATAAGAGACTGGACTTGCATCTAAAAATCTGTGCTCCTTTCTCTGGAAACTCTATTATAACACCTTTTGCTCAACTATGAATTTATTTTTTAATTTATACAGTTGCCCTTTTTTTATAACAAAGACTATAATTCACCCTTGACCTTATAATAAAATGATAGTTTTGCTGCAACATGAGCTCATAAAAATTCTCCAAGTTTACTACCATATCTCTGCCAGCGGTACAGACTGGAAACACAGTAAATAAGCTGTTTCCCTATAAATTCTGTTTATGGCTAGTTTGGCAAGATAAATGTTAGTGTTAAAAATGCCTTTTTAAACTACAAATCATTTGAAACAAAACAATTATTTGAGATAAAAAAATATAGCCAGATGCAAATATAAATTCATGACTATCAAGAGATATATGTAATTGCAACCATTTAACAAGACTCTACGCTGGCTTCAGCAGGGAAAAAAAGAAAATAAATGAAACTCATTCTAGACAGATTTACATGATCCCAGATCATAATTTACCACTAATATTGTGTGCGAGTTCAGACCATAATGATCAATGAGCCGTGCTCTGTTTTAAACATGAAGGACTAGACATTCATTTTGAACCGATTTTAAAAAACAAAGAGAATAATTCCAGTTTAATGTCCAAGATTCTATTTTCAACAGACACCAAGTAACCCTTAAAATTATTCTTCTCTTTCAGGAATAACTCTTTTAATCAACAATGAAACTTTATATTTACCACTTCCATTATATTCTACCCCAGAGAAGACTGCCAAAATCACAGAAAACATCTATTTTTTTAAAAAAATTGACTCCTAGAGGTGGGTTCCTAGGATAACAATGATAGTTTTTAGTTTCATGATTCTTTGGATGGGACACACACATCTTTTTCAAGATGCTTACACTTTCTCAAGGCACCACTTCATTTAAGTACTATTATTAGCTCTCAGAAGAGGAAAGAGAAACCTGAAACAGGAAAAGAACTCCAGCCTCCAGCCTGCCAGGATAGACAACGAAATGGAGACTCTCAGCAATCTCAGCAAAGAGCTTTCTGTATTAATAAAGTCTCCTCACTGAAAGTTGTAGAAATCCCAGGGATACTAAACATTCCTCATACCTATCGCTACATATATATATAAATAGATAGATAGATATAGTGGCAAATACAGTACTAAAATCTTTCTAAAAAGCTACTTAATATTACATCTACTTTCTAAAGTGACAGACTTCAGTCATCTTTGCCTTCCTCCAGAAAGACCTCAGTTGCAACTCTGCTTATTATAAGTTACTGCTATTTATATCTGCATTACTTTATCCTACTAAGTAAGGTAGTTTTGCCACTGACATTAACATTTTGCCTCATTTCCTTTATCCCAGCCCAACAAGAAGGAAGAAAGCTGAAACTGATCTTGTTAAGCAAAGCACTGATCTGTGTATTTGAAATACCCTGGTTATTTAGTGGTTGTATCTCCATCAGTGGAGAGAATTTGCGATGTTGGAAATCAGATCTAACATGAATGCCAATGATACCTCATCCTCACCAATGACCACAGATACACAGAATGAAACACATTCTATACACATAGGTACATATCTAAATGAATATAC